CAGGATCCTGTTCTTACAGTTTCGGACCTGGAGTATATTCTGCTGCAACTTCACCTCAAGATTGCCAACAATCGGAAAAAGAAGTGATTGGATGGTATGGATGAAGGGATGGTTTTTCTCTTTCTGGAGACAGGTGCGCTGGAACAGCCAATGTGCTGACAATGTGGTGGTTACTATTAAGGGTATGGAAATCCCTGATAGTAGGAGTCAGTAGCTTTTCGCGTAGCGAAGACCACGGTTTGTGGTGAAGAAGGCCAAGGAGTCTTCAGTGATGAGAGGATCAAGGTGAAAAAAGATTCTGTATGGGTAGTAGGTTAGCCAATGTGCTATAATTCCGTCCTGGAAGACGTTAAACCACAATTTGCATTTCAAGCAGCTGGCTGCTGCCGTAATGGCAGTTTTTGGCCAAAAGATCTGCATCTCCAATGTGTCCTAGGAAATCCTAGGACAGGGGGAGTGCGGAGCTGCAATTGGTATTGTAGAAAAGAGTTAGTGTTGAGAGTTGGAAGGGTTAATGAACCCGGAAATCATGTTTGGCTCAAGATGGGCTTGAACAGAAAGCCACAAGTTCAAAAAGAAGCGCCTGGGTTCTTAGGGTTTGGTAAGGGTGTGGATTCCTTCCCCCTTTCCTTCCCCCCTGGGTTGCTCTTATCCGTGTTCTTGGTTGTTTCTTGGTTCGATCTGGGAAATATAAGTTCAGGGCGATTAGGGGAGTTGATTTCCTTCCTTGGTTGTCCCCCCGTACCCTAAACCCAAGCCGAGACCTGAACCCCCAAGGTAGCCAGGCACCAGCATGACCTTAAAATCCCCATTAGGGTGGCCGGCCTTAAACACTTTGGCGTACTTCGAGCAAGAACTACCCTAAACCCTAAACCCTAAACCCTAAACCCTAAACACGCCGCCTCGCACTGTTCCACCGAGAGCCATTCTCCAACTCCATCTCTCAGAGATGCGAACTCCAAGGCACTGAAGGAGGGACCCTCCTTTGAGGGACCTTCGGGGTTACTTAAGGGGGCTCTTTAGGGGACGTAGGTACAATAGGATCTATATATGGTATGTGTCTTGATAGCCCAGTAACCATATTATAATAAGGGCACCTTTTTTTTTTTGGGGGGGGGTTGTATATTTTATAAGGGAAACCATAACCAAAAGCATGGGTAAAGGGTGCCACTGTATGACTGGGCTACCAAGATGTAGAGGGGTTGCGTGTGGGGGCATGTAGGAAAAAATAAGATGAAGGGTCCCTTCGAGAGCAGGTCCCTCCTTATACCCCTTAAGAACGGCACCTTTTGGTGCAGCTATAAGTCGCGACGCCGGGCTTCTTCGCCGGAGATCCGCTTAGGTTTTGGGGTTTGGGGTTTGGGGTTTGGGGTTTGGGGTTTAGGGTTTAGGGTTTGGGGTTTGGGGTTTGGGGTTTGGGGTTTGGGGTTTGGGGTTTGGGGTTTAGGGTTTAGGGTTAGGGTTTGGGGTTTAGGGTTTGGGGTTCGGGGTTCGGGGTTCGGGGTTCGGGTACACGGCAGAACGCAGTCTGGGGCGGAATCTCTGACAGTGTGAAGGACATGCCAAAATTGTTCGAGTTACCATACGCCCCAAACCGCTAACCATCCTCGACCCCTCTAAACCTTAAACCCTAAACCCTCAAAAGCAAGTGAACTTTCCCCTGCCCATCTTTTGAGCCCGTACCCCAAAACTGCAGGGAAACATCGAGCAAACCACAAAAAATGGCCAGGGTTCATAGCTTCACGTCTTAAGCGGACAAGGGCCGTTTAGCCAGCACAGCAGTCATGAGCTGTGGTAAATCCCATAAGACAGCATGCTGAACAGAACTCGTATTCCAGACATTTGGGCACAACGGCCACACTAAACAGGTAAATAAAGCCTATAAACCCTAAACCAAGCTCTAAATTCTCAGCCGTAGACAGACCCCCAATTCCCACCTTAGCACTGCTTCGCTGAGGGCGGAGAGTCGACTACTCTTAGGATCCATGTTTAGGGTTTAGGGTTTGAAGTTTAGGGTTTAGGGTTTAGGGTTTAGGGTTTGGGGTTGAGGGTTGAGGGTTGAGGGTTGAGGGTTGAGGGTTGAGGGTTGAGGGTTGAGGGTTTGAAGTGTAGGGTTCAGGGCTTGGGGTGTCGAAATTGTTGTCCCCAGAAGAGCCGCAACATGGTTCCCTTTCGGGTCAGGATTCCTCTTTTAAGGGACTCCTTTCCCCATGGTCCATTCTGTTTCTTACTGTTGGTTAGCAGGGAATGGAGGAAGGAGGTACCCTATAAATACCCTTTAAGGGATTATAAACGGCCCTTACTCTTAAACCCTAAACCCTAAACCCTAAACCCTAAACCCTAAACCCTAAACCCTAAACCCCCCATTCCCTGCTTACCGGCAGTAAGGTTTACCGGACCGTTAAGGCAAGCCCGTGTGCCTAGATGGTATATACCGTTGGCCTTCAAGGCGCGTAGGTTTAGGGTTTAGGGTTTAGGGTTTAGGGTTTAGGGTTTAGGGTTTAGGGTTTAGGGTTTAGGGTTTAGGGTTTAGGGTCTAGGGTTTAGGGTTTAGGGTTTAGGGCTTAGCGACGTTGACGCCCAAGTATACCATGTAAAGGGTATACACCCTAAACCTCAATGGAAAATGTATAGCAACCGTTCGGCTAGAGCCATTCCCTCATTCCTAGCTCAGCACCTGCATTTGGAGTCTAAGGCAAAAACCTAAACCCAAACCGAGCCCCAAAACTCAAAACCCGAAAAACTAAACCCTAAACCCTAAACCCTAAACCCTAAACCCTAAACCCTAAACCCTAAACCCTAAACCCTAAACCCTAAACCCTAAACCCTTCAGGGTTTGGAGCTCCACGATTGGGTTTCTAGGGCTTATAGGGGGTCCGCTAGGAAGCGCCGGCGTTTGCGTAATGACCGGAAGCGAACACAGACTCCGCAGTGCTTCGCACGCGGAGTCAGGGGGGGGGGGGGCCTCAGACCCCCCAAAATGGCATCAGAACGCCGCTCTAGAGACTAACCTTCCTTGGGGTTTGGGTGTTTGTTTCTACTTTTAGGGCTTCCGACCATGAAGCCGTCTCCTCCGAAAAACACAAAAAGAAGAATAATAAAACAAACGTAGAAGAAGACGAAGATGAAGAAGAAGAAGAAAGAGATGAAGAAGAAGGAAGAAAGCAAAAAGTCAAAATCAAACTCCAAACTGCTAAAACATGGCTAATGTGGAGGATGATTTCAGTTTGAAGAACATATGCTGGGCTAGCTATTATTTAAATTATACAGAAGAAGCTAGTGGATAATCTTGACAACAGTTTCGTGCAAGTGTTAGCTACACACCCATCTAATTGTCTGGCATTGCGTCCTATGCGCCCACGTCTCTTTTGTACTGTCACAATACGGCTATCTTTCTAGGCTACGCAACGCCTCCCCCAGCCCCCCCCCCCCCCACCCCCCACGCCCCCCCCCACCCCCCACCCACCCCCCACCCCCCCCCACCCGCCCCCCACCGCCACCCCCCCCCCCCCCCCCCCCCCCCCCCCCCCCACAATGAAGATAGATACCCAGACAGTAGACCATGAAATTCTAAAACCTGCAATGGGGGGGGGGGTCCCTCTCAGGGGAGTCTATGTTCTATTTGGGGTATAACAGGGGGTACCCCCACTTTGGGAAATACCCCACTTTGGGAAATACATCATGTCCTAAGCCATACTAAACCCCAGACCAAAACAAACCCTGGACGGCTAAAGCCCCTATGCCCGCACCCAGAGTATCCCCCCCCCCCAAAAAAAAAAACCACGCATACACACACCTCTGAAACTCTGCAAACAAAGCTAGACCCTAAACCTAAACCCTAAACCCGAAACCCTTCCATGAGGCTCAAAGCAATCGGAGCTCTCTCTTCACAGCCACGAAAGCTCCGAGCTTCTGGAGTAAATCGTCCACCTGAGGTAAAAATGGTTTAGGGTTTAGGCTTTAGGGATTAAACCCTAAACCCTAAACCCTAAACCCTAAACCCTAAACCCTAAACCCTAAACCCTAAACCCTAGGGTTTTTGAAGGTTTTAGGGTTTTAGGGTCAAGGTTCAGGGTTTAGGGTGCATTTGCACGGTCTAAGAGATGTGTGCTTGAAAGACTGGGGTAGGTTTGGGGGCCCTCTAAAACTTAAACTTGTATTGCTTCGTTGGGTAATTTAAAAAAAAATAGGTTCAAACCTAACCCTGCCCCAAACCCTACACCCCGAACCCCTAAACCCTACACTCCTAAACCCCAAAACCTAAACCCCTACACCCGTAAACCCCCTTAACCCCAAACTCCTAAACCGCAAGCCCTAAACCACTAAACACAACCTACCCCCAGCCCGTCAGCCCTTAAAACCCAAACCCTAAACCCGAACCCCTAAACCCCAATCTCCTAAACCCCAAACTCCTAGACCGCAAACTCCAAACCCGAAACCCCAAACTCCTAAACCCCAATCTCCTAAACCCCAAACTCCTAAACCCCAAACCCCTAGACCCCAAAACCCCAATCCCCAAACTCCAAACCCCTAGACCCAAAACCCCAAACCCTAAACCCCAAACCCCTAGACCCCAAAACCCCAAACTCCTCGACCCCAAACTCCTGAACCCGAAAACCCCTACTTAGTTGCCCAATACCCTGGCCCAAAAAGTCCACCTCTTGGGCTCCTAAGCCTAAGTTCCTACAGTTCCCAGCGACTGAGTCACAAGAGGATTCAAAGAGGACCCTTGAGCTGCTTCCTTCACTACTGCATCTTGAGGTTTAGGGTTTAGGGTTTAGGGTTTAGGGTTTAGGGTTTAGGGCCTCAGCCGCAAACCCGGCGCTGGACGGGCCTCCTCGTTCATCTCCGCCAGGTTCGCAATGGTCAGCGCGGCTTCCCCGCGCTCCGCACCGACGCCTGGGCTGGGACTCTAAGCCCTAAACCCTAAGAGCACGACAGTAAGCTTGTATGCTGTTGCAGCAGAAGTAGCAAGAGGGTCACACAGCAGCAGCCTTTTCTCAGCAGGACAACTCCACGCCGACCACGGTGACGTGACTGCACCGCAGGGTGAGGAAGATGAAGCCAATGGTGTAGTCCGCGCTTCCTCCTCCTCACTTGCGGCACCCATGCGCCAGGTAATACCGGGACGGGAGGTGGGAACCCTGCTGCCAAGAGCCCAGGGCAACCCGCGCTTAGACTGCACAAGGTGTTGGAGAGCACCAGTTGGAGCCGTGGCATCCCTGACAAGTTGGCGCAGTGTGGCAGACATACTCATGGGCAGCACAGCTCACTGGGCAGCCAGAACTTGCTGGATAGCAGGTGTCCGTCATGGTGTTGGAATCATGGCAAACCATTTCGTTCATGCCGCAAGTGACTGGGCAAGGGGACGGTTGGCACCAATTGTAGCCATCACAGCCCTCACATTGTGGCGGCATGTGGCACACATTCTCACCGGCAGGACACGTGACCGGGCAGCCAGCGCACTTCTTGTGGCAGCTGTCGGTCATGGTGCTGGGATCATGGCACATCACTTCGTGCATCCCGCAGTGAACTGGACAGCTGCCGGGATGACAGTAGTCGTATCCCTGACACGTGTCACATGTCGGCGGCATGTGGCACACGGTGTCACCTGGCGGGCATGTGACCGGGCAGCCGATACTTGCGGGGTGGCAGCTGTCTGTCATGGTGTGGACATCATGGCAAACAACCTCATCCACTCCACAGATCACCGGACAGGGCCCAGGGTGACAGTAATTGTGTCCTGGACAGCTGTCACATGTCGGCGGCTCGTGGCACTCGCTATCGCCTGGCGAGCATGTCACAGGGCAGCCAGCGCTCAAAGGGTGGCAGCTCTCCATCATGGTGGCGGAATCATAGCAATGCACTTCATCCGTGCCGCAATATGCTGGGCAAGGGGACGATTGGCACCAGTTATAGCCATCACAGCCCTCACATTGCGGCGGCGTATGGCACACATGCTCGTTGCCAAAACACGTGACCGGGCAGCCTTCGGTCTTGTTGTGGCAACTGTTGATCATGGCGCTGGGATCATGGCACATTACTTCGTGCATCTCGCAGTAGACTGGACAGGCGCCGTGGTGACAGTAGTTGTATCCCTGACAGGTGTCACATGTCGGCTTTTCGTGGCATAAGCTCTCACCTGGCGAGCATGTCACAGGGCAGCCAGCGCTCAAAGGGTGGCAGCTCTCAATCATGGTGGCAGAATCATAGCAATGCACTTCGTCCATGCTGCAATATGCTGGGCAAGGGACCGACTGACACCAGTTGTAGCCCTCACAGCCCTCGCACGATGGCGGCATGTGGCACAAATGATCGCTGCCATAACAAGTCACCGGGCAGCCTTCGGTCTTATTGTGGCAGCTCTCAACCATGGTGTTGGGATCATGGCACCAGACCTCATCGAACCTGCAGTACACCGGGCAAGTGTAGGAGGAACAATAGTTGTAGGCATCACTGCCCTCGAACATCTGCGGCTCGTGGCACACGTGCTCACCAGGGAGGCAGGTGACGGGGCAGCCTGCGCTCTTGGGGTGGCAGCTCTCGGTCATTGTCATGGGATCATGGCACCACATCTCCTCTGCGCTGCATGTAAGAGGCTGCACTGCGGCATTTTTCGTCACCTTGGTCTGCAAGGCACAGGTTCCCTTACTCTCTTCGGGGATCGCGTCCGACAAAGCCAGACTTGCGGTAACCAAAGGCACGAGGATGGACAGCGGCATTGCTGACGGCGGTCCCGTGTCAAGAGGGGGCTCAGGTGAAAGTGAAGCTTGAGAGCGACTCGAAAGGGCTGCATGCACCAAGAACTACAGTGGCTGACCTCTGGACGGACCTGGGAGCACCCGGAGAACTGCGAATAAGGGCCTACTCCCGGCCCGAGTTGCTCGGTCTCGGGCTTCACTATGGGATTGTATGCCATCCTCAGTAACCTTGTGGGCCTTCTGGATTTAGGGTTTAGGGTTTAAAGTCCCAGTAGCCCCCAACCCCCCCCCCCCCCCCCCGGGCCTTCTTCTGGGGGTGTACATAGGGTTTAGTGTTTAAGGTGTAACGACGAACAAACAAAGCGCGAAATCTCACAAATCCCTAAAACCTAAACCCTAAACTCTAAATAACCCCAAACCTAAATAACCCTAAACCGTAAATCCTACACCCTAAACCTAAGCTCTAAACCCTAAACCCTTGCCTTGCGCTAAGAAGGTCATGGCTAAGGCGCAAGAGCGCAACTGCTGCAGGAGGATGTCCATGCAACCAGCCTCCACGATTTCCTTAGGTCTTCAGAGCTGCAACCCTAAACCCTAAACCCTAAACCCGAAACCCTAAACCCTAATACCTACTACCATGATACCGCAATGCACGAATATCCTTCTCAGTACCCTAAACTCAGGGCTCGGGGTGTAGGTACTTCGGGTTTAGGGAGCCCAGGGTTGTAGGGCCCGATTCTACGCAGTGACCAACAGGAAGCCCGAATTGCAACTCACGGTTTACCGTCTTGGGTTTAGGGTTTACGGCATTGCGGTTTAGGGTGAGGGCTTGGGGTTCTGAGTTATTAGAGTACTCGAGAATTGGGCAAAAGAGGGCAAGAGGGCAGTAGGGTCAGGGAATATTGGGCTATCAAGTTCAAACTGGGGCCGCTAGTAACTACACACCAAATTTTAAACCCTCGACCCGCCCAGGAACTAAGATGGCCGCAGAAACCTTTGCAAGGATTCCACAGGACTTCTTGCCGAGCGACGGCCGCATTGTCAATATGTCCTGGTGCTGGTTGTTGAGTCTAATCAGAACGGCGGGGAGCAGCTGGGACACTCCAACACCAACACATGATCATGTTACTGGATATTAGTAGGTCATCAGGGAAAGGGGTACCCAAGTTTGAAACCCTGAATATAGGGTACCTACCGAATTTCCCAAGCCCTAAGCGCCCATGTACCTGATTATTGTATACTTGGGCCCCACAGTCCTTATATAGGAAGTACTTTAAGGCCCAAGTATTACGTACTTCCCTAAACCCTAAACCCTAAACCCTAAACCCTAAACCCTAAACCCTAAACCCTAAACCCTAAACCCTAAACCCTTAGGGAAACTCCCTACAGCAAGACCCAGTAAGATGATGTGTGGATGTCCGCGAACGCTCCGGAAATCTTGCACGGTGGGCGCTGCAGAAGTGGCGTGGGCTTAGGGTTTAGGGTTTAGGGTTTAGGGTTTAGGGTTTATAGGGTTTAGGGTTTTAAGGTTTAGGGTTTAGGGTTTAGGGTTTAGGGTTTAGGGTTTAGGGTTTAGGGTAGGGTTTAGGGTTTAGGCGTCACCCCCACTGAATTCCATTCTTTGGTGGCGGGGCCTTTTGAGATCTGCTTGCAGGTATATCAAAAGAAACAAGCAAATAACACAAAATGTATATAAACATATATACATATGTATACATCTTCATACTTCTATTTACATTGAATGTTTGAGACGGCGTCAAAATTACTTGTTTAAGCCTTGCTTGTTTTTGAATTAGCGCGTCCCCTATCGTTTTCCATGTTTTTCGCCTACCGCACTTTTACCCTATCGTATCAAGTCACCCTATCATTTTGTCCCCTATCGATCCTCGGCGTTTTGCTGCAACAACTACCCCCTCTACTAAAATAAGCAAGCGGTGATTTTGACCACGTCTCATCCCTAAACCCTAAACCCTAAACCCTAAACCCTAAACCCTAAACCCTAAACCCTAAACCCTAAACCCTAAACCCTAAACCCTAAACCCAACCTCTAAGCCTTCAACCGCAAACCCCCCCTGATCCTTGAGCCCTGGACGGATGTACGGGCGGTATCCGACAATAGGGGGTTTACTCCTTGAGGGTCTCTTACAGGGGATGCTGTTCTATTTGGGGTATGAAAGGGGTACCCCTATTTTGGGAAATACCCATGTCAGTTTAGAACCCTTGAAACCTGATCAAAGTCGACGTCCAAACGTCCATGGGTCAGATAATTATCGGATAAATTGCCAAGAGAGCTTCCCTATTCCCTAAACCCTAAAACCCTTACTGAAGGTCTGTCCTCGCGCCATGGCCCCGAGGGCAACGATGGCTTGGCGCTTCTCCGCGGTCGCTCTTGCAAGGGCCTGGGGGGGGGGGGGGGGGGGGGCAGAAGCTCGGGTTTAGGGTTTAATTAGGGTTTAGGGTTTAGGGTTTAGGGTTTTGGGTTCAGGGTTTAGGGCTAGGGTTTAGGGTTTAAGGCTCAGGGCTTAGGAATTAAGGTTTAGGGGTTTCGGGTTCGGGAAGGTTCAATTGTGTTTTCGGCCTAGGGGTTGAGGGCTATATTTTCTGGGGTTAAGGTTTACCCTGCTCTCTTAGCCTGGGATGCTCCCCGTTGGGGCAACCGATGCTACAAAAGGTCCTCATAGCCCCCTGTTAGAAGTGTTGTCGAGAGTGCTGCTGAAGCGGGGGGTTTCAGGGATATGGTTTGGGCACGTCCTGCACCGTGAGCCCTCCATAACCTTTAATCCCTGAGCCCTAAATCATTGTTCAGAAAGGCAACGGTTGCCGACAATAGGCAGTCATAGCTCCACTGCCCCCTTGTAAACCGGAAACTACAAAGGTTTAGGGTGTAGGGTTGTGGCTTAAAGCTCCATAGCCTGAACCCCCAAACCCACTAAGCCCCTGCTAACTGCACAAACCCTGAGCCCCACACCTCCCAAGCCCACGATGAAATCCACATGTACCCGCTCGTCCCGAGAGGTTTGAAGCCAGAAGCCCTAAGCTCTACTCCTTGAGAGGCCTAAACCCTAAACCCTAGACCCTAAACCCGAACCCTAAACCCTAAATCCTAAGTCCTAGACTTGTCTTAGGGCAAGCGCAAGACTCCTAAGGCCTGGATGAGGACATCCAGCGCGCCAGCTTCAGCGAAGGCCGTCCTTTTTAGGTTTATGACTACCCTAAACCCTAAACCCTGAAACCCTGAAACCCTGAAACCCCGAAACCCCGAAACCCTGAAACCCTGAAACCCTGAAACGCAAAACCCTAAACCCTAAACCTTTCTAGGATTTACGGTATAGGGTTTCAGAGTTTAGGGGCTTAAGGTTTATGTTCTAGTTACCCTAGAAGAGGGATGCCCTTTTTGGGGTTGGATACTTCATAAGGGAACCTGGAACCAGCAAGGGCCCTTAGTATGAGCCCTTAGAGAACTAACGCAACAAAGCACACCCACACTTCGAAACGCTACACTTCAACCCAGAACTTTGAGTATACCCTAGACGAACCCGAGACTCTGCACTTGTCGTTCGAAAACTGCCCCAACTATCCCCGCGTTTTGGCTGACGGAGCTGGAGCTGCCAAAGGACCCCTAAACCCTAAACCCCCTAAATCAGGCCGTGGGTCTGCGCGGGTTCATAGTTGTCACAGATGCAAGTCACAGCCGTGGCTGCCTCAGTGATGTATGGTTGCTGGTGGGCCACCCTCTACTTACCCGAGATAGCCTTAGCATCCCAAACCATCTACGGCCATCGTCGCTGCGCCAGCGCCATTCCTCATCTAGTACGGCTACAATGCCTCACCCCAGTGGGTCTGGGTAGTGGTCCTCATCCTCATTTCCCGGTTAGCTTCGGGGCTTGTGACCCTAAGCCCTAAACCTTAAACTTTCGGGTGTATGGAATGATCTGATGATACCTTAAGAATACTAAACACGTAAAATCCTAATTCAACCTTTCAGAGCCCCCTGAAGCCCTAAACCCCTGGAGTTCACATCCTTGACATTGTGAACGCGCATAACACTTTGAGGGGAAAGTAGACCCCTTTCCTCAAAGTAACTGAAGAGACCAGCACTGTTCACATGCGACTGGTTTCGGAGCACAGATCTATTTGTAGAAGCGCTGCTTGTCAGCTGTTTCCTATTCGACAATGCAAGCATGCGAGTTGGCGTTACTCAGCTTTCCTCTCTACATGATTTGGTCAAAAGCATTACTGCGTCGTTTGCGTGGCAACCGATGCTTCTGCTCGGCTGGCACTGGCACTGGCCTGGTTGCAGAATGCGACTGAACCGTGGACAATGAAAATGGGCCGGCTAAATCCAAGCTAAATAAAGGTCGGCGCAATGCGAAAGCTGCATGAAGTGCCAATAAGCCTTCAAGCACACCGAACCTCATAGCACTAAACTCAGGGTACGCGTTTCTGCCTAAACAAGACCCAGAGTGGGTCCTAGTAAAATGCGTTTCCCCAGACTGGAAGATCAAGCCTCAGCAGACAAATCGACGGCCTTCCGAAGTTTAGGGTTTAGGGTTTAGGGTTTAGGGTTTAGGGTTTAGGGTTTAGGGTTTAGGGTTTAGGGACTCCAGCAGCAAAGGGCTGAACATTTGCTTACTTCCCCTGCGCCCCAAGGTCATATTATCGGAAGTACAAGACAATACCAACCATACCCTGTTCAGGTACACGAACACAGAGGGTGGATTTAGGGAATATCTGGCCCCCGCCCTGTGAGCAAGGGGCTTTTACTGCATATAGGGACCAGTAGGCGTGCTACCTGCTGCCGATCCGAGATCTAAGAATAGTGTCGAGGGTTGAGGGTGTACGGTTTACGCACGAGGCCGATGGTTGTAAGGGGTCCAAACCCTGAACAAAGAATACAGCTCGTACCGGGTGTCCTGAGAGTTGAAGTTCAAGTGTGCAGTGCAGGCGCGGGGTCTAGAGTGTAATGGCCAAAGGTTTAGGAGTACTCCGCTAGTGCGGCTCAAGCTTCAGACACAGCTCCT